ATTCCCAGTATTGCATTATTGTCCTCCATTTTGTGATTGTAATTTTATGTTAAAGAGGATTAGGGTGGGATTGTAACACCCTTACTAAGGTCACATCCCTGATCCAATGTAAAAGGAATTTCCCTGGGGTGTAGCCTGCACCACCTTTTATCTTACAAGAGATAAAAGGAAAGGGAAGCAAGCAGAATGGGGAGACCTCATACCACCAAGAAAGCAGTGCCGGGAGCAGAGCGTGTCCTTGGGACTTGGGGTTCCTGCACGGAGAAGCTCCTAGTACAGGGGAGGATTGATGACAAAGACCTTCCTCCAGAGCTGACAGAGACAGAAAGCCTTCCCCTGGAGCTGACACCCTGAATTTGGACTTCTAGCCTACTACACTGTGAGAAAATAAGTTTTTCTTTGTTAAAGCCATCCACTAATGGTATTTCTGTTATAGCAGCACTAGATGACTAAGACAATGACTTTGCCTTGGTCAGATTGTGCTGACTTCCCCAGAATTGTGTACTTTCTTAACCTTCACCAAAGTTACCACTTATCTACTAGCTAGTTAGTGTTTTTCTCTCCCCATCCCTCCCCTCCCTCGTAACCATCAAAGATTGTTTCTTTCTGTGTGTAAACCTTTTCTAGAGTTTTTATAATTGTAGTCCCATACAGTATTTGTCCTTTTGTGATTGACTTATTTCACTCAACATAATGCCCTCCAGATTCCTCCAGATTCATTCATGTTGTGAGATGTTTTGCAGATTCATCATTGTTGTTTATTGTTGGGGAGTATTCCGTTGTGTGTATGTACCATAGTTTATCCATTTATCTGTTGATGGGTATAATTTTTTTTTTATTATTACTGTATTTTAGATGAAGGTTTACAGAACTACCTTCTCATTAAACAATTAGCACATATACTGTTTTGTGACATTGGTTACCAACCGCGTGACATGTCAACACTCTCCTTTCTTGGCCTTGGGTTCCCTATTACCAGCTTTCCTGTCCCCTGCTGCCTTCTAGTCCTTGCCCCTGGGCTGGTGTGCACATTTAATCTCATTTTGTTTTATGGGCCTGTCTAATCTTTGGCTGAATGGTGAACCTCAGGAGTGACTTCATTACTTAGCTAAAAGGGTGTCCAGGGGCCATACTCTCAAAGTTTTTCCAGTCTCTGTCACACCAGTAAGTCTGGTCTTTTTTTTTT